CCCTCCCATCCCTCCCCTCTTTCAAACCTCCACACACCCACAAAGACATAATTTGTTAAACTTTTACAACTTCATTTACATAAATCGGATCATGTAAAGCGTCGGCTGTTTCTGTCTTCCTTGAAAGAAGCGTCAACCCGGGCTAAATGGAATACAGCATCCAAGAAGACATTATTACGGAAATACTCTATTTAAAAGTTTATCTGTTAGGTAATCAAACTCACGCTTTTTTAGTATAACGGCGAAGAGTCTAACCATTACCCCATAACCCCTGGCTCACCCAACTCACAAGCGTTTCCTCCTCTTACATGCACTGTTCTGTATTATAATATATAATTTACTTTTTTTGTTGTTGAATCTGCGCGATAGCTAATAATAATGTCTCTAGGAAGCAGGCTTCGACAAGAATAATAACATGAAAAAATATTTGAAATTTAAATGATGAGGATAGCATACTAAAGCGCCCACCAACCATCCATATTTTCCCTACGGACCGATGCTAATTGAGATCACTTCCCCTGTTCTTTCCACTAATTGCGAGTTTTCAAAGCGACACACATTGTTGTATAGTAACATAACAGCCCCAAGTGTCAAAAGGCCAGTAGGAAACATTTTTAGACGATCAGATCTGAGAGTTGTTTGAACAGTTTAGTTTAAATTTGGTGATTGGTAAGCTGAATAAATAGGTTCATGCGTTAACGAATGGGTATGAAAGTGTGGTGATGAACACATGGGTGAAAGTATTGATGAATTAATAAGTGAGAGAATCGTGGGGGTGGATGGTTCAAATGGGTCATTGGGGTGGCTTCCTGCGGAAATCAATCACATTATATATATATATATATATATAGAGAGAGAGAGAGAGAGAGAGAGAGAGAGAGAGAGAGAGAGAGAGAGAGAGAGAAAGAGGGGGGGGGGATAAACTTAATCAATCTTTATACCTGAAAACCTAACAGTCTTCCCACAACAAACAACATCAAACTTGAGATGCACAAAATAAAAGCACTCGTGGACATACTGGCAGTCTATTCACTTGCCCATCCAGATACTGTACATTGCCTGCATTACTATAATATACTGACGTTTACCTCACAGTTGCTGATGCTAAGCTTCTTCAGACTGGTCAATGTCTTGACAACAGTCCACAGTTCATCCATCTCAATAGGCACGAAGTGTAAACAGAGAACGCTCAGGCACTGGGAGTAGGAGTTGTCCGACACACAGTGGATCACGTGACCTCCTTCACGCATAGACTGCTCACTTCTGACGTCATTCAGTGGAAGTCCAGAGTTCACCTTCAGCTTGAAGGTCTCCAGATGCTCCAGGGAGGACAGGAAATTGTCTATTCCACCGGAAGTGATCTTCCAGCAAGCGTTGAGAGAGACTTCCCTCAAACAGGGAAAGAACTCGGAGACCAGTTCTAGTTCCTCGTCCCCAAGGGCAAAGCCACCGTTGATTTGAGCGTACTCCAAGTGGGACAAGGGCTGGAGCGTCTCCACCACCGCCCGCGTCCACAGGATGGGCAGGCGGAGATAACGCAGATTGTACAGCCGTGGTATTAGCGCGAACACGCTTTCGTAGACTGGAGAGTTTTTGTACCAGGTCAGTCTCTGTACATGGAAGCCGTACACGCGGAATATACAACACACCATACTGAAGTGGTAGAACAAGTACTCCGAGGGGTCCACGTACAGTTCGCGCCATAGTGAGCCTGTCGTCTGCAAAATCCGCCGCCATTTTCTGCAGACGAGAGCTAACGCTGGTAACTCGTCCTCGATTGGCCGGAAGAAGTGAAAAACCCGGATGAGAATCTCGTCCGGAAGGTCGTTGATACACAGCGGTGCAAACAGCAGGCACTTCGATTTTCCGTTTTTCTGAGACATGCATTGTTTGTTGGTGCTCTGGATCAGCATAGCTGGGAACACCGTCGTGAACTTCATAGGGGCAGCGTACGAAGCTCCGAAACAGAATCACACTCAATGCAGGTTATGATGTCCCACGAAGAACAGAATATGACGTCGGTACCAGTCTGAAAGAGAGAACAGCGAATTTTTTTTAATGTTATGTCAGTTTGGTTTTTATTTTTACCTTGATAAATTTCACATGAAAGAGAAATAAAAATTCATGGAATCTGTAGAGATTTGGTGCATGGACTCCCATGCTCGTTTGTAGTATCATGTAAGAAAAATACGACTGTTATCCCAAGGCTTCCATGTGAATGCATAATAATATGTGAGGCAGCGTGGTGGAATCAGGCTCTCGTCAAAATAATCAAAATGAAGAAATTAGCATTTTTCCGCAGGTTTGTGAATTTTTATTAAATTTTCGTGTTTTTTTTTGGCTCAACACTTTTCATGCCCATTAAAAAAATTCATTTCATTGTGGATTTTTCTGAAAAACGTTGATTAAAGACACAGAAAATGTAAATTTTCAGTTACCACGGACTCTGAAGCTAAGGAAATAACTAACCTTTAGCGGCCATTTTCTCACTAATTTTACCTCTGAAAACAGGTGACCCCCAACTTTTTCATTTGCAAATATCTTGACTTGTATTCAAGATAAATGGATATTTTTTTCATCCAAATAAACACAAGTGAACAAGCTTTAAGATGATACCAATAACTCTACATGCCCAAAAATTGACGAGAGCCTGATTCCACCACGCTGCCTCACATATTCCACAAGACCTCCTGAGACGCACCCAAGGAAAGTTCATTGATGCGGAACCTGTTAGTATTATTTTGGCTCTGCTTGTCGTTAGCTCAGTCAGTGACATCAAGCAGGGATTGGATCGAATCCCCGATCGGGTGATCTTGAAGAGGGAATGTTTTTTTTAGGAGACTCAATATTTTTCAACATATTTGCTTGGGCATTCGGAGGTGAGCATTACATTTGGGGGCCCAGCCTCTTCAACATCGGTTCACAATAAGAAAGGCGGCTTTTCACAGAACGAAAGGGGACAAAAGTGACAAGTGATCAGGGATTTTTTTTAACCTTTTCTAATCACCAAATACAAACTCCTCTGGTAAGATGTTAAAACAACTTACACAACCAAAAAAAGGAGCACGCCATTATTTTCTTCCGTGCTCCCATTAAGGTTTTCGGGAAATCTTTGGCAAGTTACGTCATTTGGGAGGCGTGAAGAGTCGAAACTGTTTGTGACAGAGATACAGTATCTTATAAGAAAGATGGACATACTGGATGAAAGAAACTTCGCTATTTGGGAATCGAATTCAAGACTTGTGTATGCAAAGGCGAAAAGCTAAACCATTTTACCACGGGCCTGACCAAGAACTGTATGTAAGTGTGTGTGTGTGTGTGTGTGTGTGTGTGTGTG